AGTAGGGTAATTACCAGTGAAGAGGGGGAACAAGATTGAAAAAGCACTCAGCTCTTGGGGTGACAGCGGGGGGGGGGGGAGGATGAGACTGTGACACTATTTGAGACGGGTATTTTTATGAAAGGGGAGAAAAGTAGAACAATCGAGGTCCTGTAGTCCCTCTTTGGTCATACCAGTTAGCAACAGTAAACCAATGGGGTATATGGGTGGTCAACTCCTGCATACCTGGTATACCACCGAAACTTCAAAGGCAGCTACGGCCGCACAACCACCTCACTGCTGCGCAGGCAGGAGCAGGTTGGCTTTAGCTCCACAAAGCTGAGCATCTCACAGAGTGGCTGACATTTAAAGAGTTAGCTGAAGGTTGTTGTTTAATTGGCAGAGTGCTTGCGTAGCACCTAAGAAGCCCTCAGTGCAAGCCTTAGCGCCGCTTACACCGGGTGTAGTGGTGCAAATCTACCAGGCCAGCAGTGGCGGTGGGGGTGGGGGAGGGGTGAAGGCAGGACACATATCCAGGGTCGTCATTGGCTGTGTAGCAAACTTGAGGCCAGCCTGATCTAATTTGAGATCTTGTCTCAAATTAAAGAACAGAACAACAACAAAAATAAACCAATAAACAAAAACCAGTTCAAGGCCAGACAGGTACATGAGATCTTTAAAAAAAAAAAAATGTTTTCATTGAAAATTAAAACGGGCACTAAAAGTCTTACTATTGGAAGTACTCGTATGCCTTTGGAAGCTTTCTGCTACGGGCTGGAGAAGCAGAAAGAAGCCCTCAGCAATGTCCACTTGGCATGTGCTGTCGTTCAACAGATCACATTTCTCTCCTCAAATCTAATGTATTTTCTACCTTAACACTGCTACTCTGGCTACAATTCTTTCTTCAGAGACTCCGGCCCAAACTATTCCATATGGCAGGAACGCTTTGAGAACAGCATCACAAGAATAAATGCATTCATGAGCACACAATAACTGTATTACGTAAGTATGTATATCACAGAAACATCTGTAAGTAAAATGTACATATAGAAAGAAACGTGGGCTCCCAGCCTTCACTGTTCTTCCTTCTCCATCCTCTGGTACTGCAGCAAACCCTAGTGTCCCTTCTGCCGTGACTGTTGAGATGCTGCGTTTGCACGGCCTACTTCAAGAGTCGTTGGCACCACAGGCGCAGCCACGGCCATCACAGTCCTCCACTGTTGCTCAAGGGCTGTCCCTGGCAGCAAGGTGGGCCAGTGAACATCAGACAATAGCTTCACAGGCCAAGGCTACCCTACAAGGCCTCTCTGTCCAGCGGGGTGTGCACCTGGGCCCAGGACACCAGGAGAGAATAACCTTCAGAGGTAAAAGAGCGCCACCTGCTGAAGTGGGTGGTGCCGGTCTACTGTGCGCATCCTAAAGGATGAGTCTCAGGGCTTCACGGCTTCCCTAAGGGCGCCAGGCTCGCTAGTCTACCAGGTCTCCCTGGATGTACACAGCTATAATGCAGACAGCGAGTGTCTCTGAAACACAAAGGACATCGGTGGGCACAACACCACCTTTCCCGACGGTTGGTTAGAAGGCAAACTTTAATGCCTTGCATTCAAACATTTACACATGCCTAGTCCAAGAGAAAAATGCATAGTTGTAAGAATCAGTGAATAAAACATATGCTGCCAGAAACACTGTGGTCTAAAACAAAACAAAACAAAACAAAACTTCTATGTATTATGTGTATACTGAGCACAGAGCTAGGAGGCAAGTGAGCCAGGACAATAAAGCACAAATTAAAGAACTGAAAAGTGTATGACATCATCTGAGTCCACATGGGTGATAGAACAGGAGAACACAAACAACCCTGGCTGGAGGGCAGCTGTCTACTGGAAAGATGTGAGTGCTTATGATGCATGACCCCCTTCAGAGCAGACCCACCCCACCCCTCCAGAGTACCTGTGTTCACTAGTCCAGAGTGAGTTTCCAGTTCCCAAACCAAGGAGCTTTCTCTACTTTGCATTTTCTGCATTTCCTAAATGCCTTTTGCTTTACTGCCTCCTTGTACACACAGTCCTTATTGTGCCCTGTGGGAGCATTTTCAACTGTGTTGCTTGTTTTGACACAGTAAAAGGGGGGAGGGAAAGCTGGCTTTTAGTCTGGGTGGGGGGGTTCTGGTTCCTTAAACCATTTTTCCTAGAATTTCACAGTCACGAAAAAGAGAATGTCCAAGAACTGGTCTATCAGACAGGCCAGAGAATAGCAAGTAACATTTACACTTTTTTTCCCCCTTTCAAAGCAGGGTTTTCTCTGTGCAACCTGGCCGCCCTGGAAGTCGCTCTGTAGAGTAGACCTTGAATTCAGAGATTCACCTGCCTCTGTGTTCTAAATGCTGGGATCGAAGGTGCATGCCCCTCCTCATGCCTTATTTCGAAAATGAAAGAGAAGATCCTAGAAAAAGGAATTTATTTAATTTGAAACATGCCAGCTTAGATTTATACAAATAAAGCCAGTGGACTGTAGAGATGGCTCAGAGACTAAGCCCACACACTGCTCTTAGAGGTGCCAAGTTTGGTTCGCAGCACCCACACCCAGGGGCTCACAACCACCCACATCTCTAGCTCCAGAGGATCTGATGCTCTCTTCTGGCCTCTGCTGGAACTACACTCAAGTAAATACAATCTTAAAAGAAAAATTACCAGGGGAAAACGATAGCATATCCCTTCCTTCCTTCCTTCTCACTCTCTCTCTAAACTCTTACTTAGAGAAATCAGCAATGAGCATTGAATCACCTCTGTCATTACTTACAGTGGTTTTCAGCCAGGAAATGTTACTTTCATCTGATTACACAGGCCATATTCAACACATACATTTCTTATGACAGCTGCTGTTGGATGGACCTGTCCATTAGCCTTCTTTTCAGAAACTGTTAGGAAGAACGATTTCCCATGAAACACAGACTTAGAGTACTCTCTTCTGCTTTTTGTTTCCTGTCCAAGGGCTGCTGCCATTTGTGTGATTGGCTCCCAGATGCTTGTGTCTCTCAGGAAATCAGCTAGTGCCCGGTGAGCGTGCTAATGGGGCCGATGGAGTGTCACTGTGATGGAGCCAGCCCAGCTGGGCGGGGCTGGGCGGGGCTGGGCGGCTCCTGCTTCCAGGGACTGCAGAATGGAGGACCCAGAGGGCAGGCCTAGCAGAGGGGCCACCACCGCCTCCTATCACACACGCCTCTCTGATGAGGCCTGCGGACTTAGCTGTGGGTGCCGTCCACACTCATAACAACCACTCTGAGACCCATCCAATATGGGCTTTAGCAATACTGCTCACTGCTTGTCCTCTGATCAGCTATGGCCGCAGGAACAGTTACTTCTCCTTTTCCACCCCAATCTGTGCTCAGGTTGGGCTGGGAAATGTTTTGTGAGGTGCCAGTGCCGAGAACAGGAAGTCCCAGCGAGTGTCTCTTTAGGGACTGCTCTCCCCTGGAATTCTAAAGACGAGAAAGGTCCACAAACATTCCTGGGAATAGTAAAGTTACCTGTGAAAATGTTACATTTAATGCTTTTTCTGGTTTTTGTTTGTTTGTTTGTTGTTTTGGGGGGGGAGTCTCATCGTATAGTCCAGGCTGACATTAAACTCTTGCTCCTATTGACTTAGTCTCCTGATTATTCTAATCTTTTAATGTTAATCTTTTAACAGACAGATTGACAAAAAGAAATGGTAGAAATTGGAAAACATTTTCTGTAAAGGAACAAGAGAGCAAAATCTGGTCCTGTGACCCTTCCTTGCAAGTGCTTGCCTGTGCTTGGAAGACACCGCAGGCAGCAGTCATAACCCAGTAAAACTTATTTACAAGCTCAGGCTGCGGACAGAGGCCACCGATGGGCTGTAGCATGCTGGTGCTTGGAAGCATCCGGTCCTAGCTGCTTACACAGCCCCTTTGGCCAAGTGGTCCCGGTTTTAAGGATGGAAGAAAGGTGCTATGGAACCTTCTTCCATGACTAAGGGAAGCACTGAGGCCTGGCATGTGTCAGGGGTGAACCTGAATGGAGGCCTACAGAGACCAAGGAGTCAAAGCCAGGGCTACCTTAGAGAACCCAAGATGTTGGAGATGCCAGAATCGTGGGACACCTGCTGAGGAGAGCTGCTAGCAGGGAGCAGAACCAGCCCGAGAGAAAGGAGCTAAAAGGCAAAGGAGATCTGCAGAGCGTTTTCACATCAGACATGGAGCTGCAGAGTTTAGAGTTTGCCCAGCTGGTTTTTGGTCTTGCTTTGGTCCAGAATCTCCTCACTATGCTTGCTTCCCTGTGTTTTGGAATGATAATGTGTATCCTGTGCCATTATATGTTAGAAATATGTGATCTGTTTTTTTACTTTGATTTTGCAGGCGATTACAGTTAAGAGATTGTATAAATCTCAGAAGAGACTTTGAACTTTGGACTTTTAAAGAATTTGAGACTGTGATAGACTATGGGGACTTTCTAAGTTGCATTAAATGCATTTCACATTATGACACCGTTATAAGCTTTTGGGTGCCAGGGAGTGGAGTGTGTAGTTTGAAAGGTATGTGGTAAAAAATGCGGTGTGGCCTTGCTGGAGTGGGTGTGGCCTTGTTTGCTGGAGTAGGTGTGGCCTTGTTTGCTGGAGTAGGTGTGGCCTTGCTGGAGGAAGTGTGGCCTTGCTGGAGTAGGTGTGGCCTTGCTGGAGGAAGTGTGTCACTATGGAGGAGTGGTTTGAGGTCTCTTTTGCTCAAGTTTCAATCAGTGTGACACTCACTTCACTTCCTGTTGCCTGAAAGATGTAGGACTGTCAGCTACCTCTCTAGCACCATGTCTGTCTGCACGCTGCCATGTCCCACCATGATGAGAACAGACTGAACCTCCGAACTGCAAGCCTCCACCTCAATAAAATGTTTTCCTTTATAAGAGTTGCTGTGGTCATGGTGTTTCCTCATAACAACAGAAACCCTAACTAAGACAAATACCAAGTGGTCAGCCCTGAGGTCATATACATACAAATAATACAAAGCAGACTGAGCAGACTGTATGTGTGTATGGAAAAACTGAAGAAAAAGGAACCATGATTTCAAGAGGACGTAAAGCATGGGGAGGGGGTTTGGAAAAAAGAAAAGGGAAGAGGGTAAATGATTAAATATATTTGAATTAAAAAAATAAATACTATTTTAAAGAGTGAAGAACAACAGAGGAATCCAATACCAACCTCTGGTCTACACACACACACACACACACACACACACACACACACACACTCATGAACTCACACATATCCATACACTACACACACACAGAGAGAGAGAGAGAGAGAGAGAGAGAGAGAGAGAAAACTAAAAGCCAAATAACATCAAAGCATGTCTGAGAAGCAAATGTTGTTCTTAGCAGATTGAAGGAAAGTAGTAGGGAAGAAGGTACCACATAGTTCAGGGTAGGACAGGTATTCAACCACACTCATACATGCAGAACACACACATCATAGTAGGGCGGGTATTCAACCACACACATACATGCAGACCACACACAAACATCCAGATGCTCACATAGACAGAAAGACATACACACTCTATACATAGCTTTCTGGATCCACCAGCATCACTTTCTTATTGTGAGGGTAATTTCATTTTGGCAAATCTTAATCTCAGCATCAAATATAAGTTGTTGATTTAAATGTTAGTAACTTAGTAAACTATTGTATTTAACTTGTGATTTTATTTGCGTCTACAGTTGTACAAGAGTTACAACAGGTTTCTGGTTTTTAAAATATCATACTAATATCAATGGCCTCAGTCAACTCTGGTAAATGAGGGTTGGTTTTCACTCTCCAAGAACTAAAAATAGGGCTGGAGAGATGGAGATGGTGCAGCTGCTAAGAACACTTGATGTTCTTGCAGAGTGCCTGAGTTTGATTCCCAGCGGCCGCGTGGTAAATCTCAACAATCTCTATTCCAGTTCCAGGGGGTGTGGCGCCCTCTTCTGGCCTCTGCAGGTAGCAGGCATGCACATGGCAAACAAACACATTCAGGTAAATGTTCAAACACACAAATAAAAAATGAATCAGAGAAAAAGACAATGATGAGAAGCACTGCTAGGCACACAGAGTCATATCTATGTGTCAGTACCAAGGCGTGAATGAGAAGCGCGAATGAGAAAGTGTGCAGGTAGGAGAGGAGGAGGTTGTTAGAGATACAAGCGTCTTGGGAAGGTTAGTTACCAAGGGGTAGCTGCTATGGAAATGCACAGGTATCACTCTCTTATGGGGACTAAACAATTTCATGTCCTGACTCAATTCTGCATGTCAGGGGGTCAGACAGAGGGGAGAGGAAGATCCTGAACAAATAAAGCACAACTTGACAAGACGATTGCCAGTAAGACCTTAAAGCTGGGGCTGCCAGTTAGCTTTTAGCTGCCTATGTGAGACAGGGTTTCAGCCACATGTAGATGATGAACCGAGCCAAGGGAACTCAACATGTAGACACCCTGTCTGCTGGTGTACGTCAAAGACGGAAGCCATGGAGACTGAGGAAAATATACTTCAGCATCAAAGTACATGAAGACATCAGTCTAACACTCAAGAGGGAGAACAAACCTTTGACATCAATTTACTGCAGAAACCAAAGCCAAATTACGAAATTGGCCTTGTCGTTATGATATCAGGACATATAATTTCTAAGTACTGAATGCAAACATGAGGCTGACATGTCAGTGTGACAAGCTGGGCTCAGAGAACAAGTTTTTAAAAAATAAAGTGTGGAAATACCACATCATTTCAATCTCAAACGAAATTAGCAAAGAACAAAACTATCAGAGTATAAGCAGGGCTGAAGACTTGCAGAGAGCTTATACAAAGTGTCGGGTCCCACTGCAACACGGTAAAGACAAGTTTTGCACATAAATGAAAAGGCCAGCGTGAAGACTTGGAATCATGTACTTGTACTCTATGTGCCTAGAGCCTTAGACAAAGAATTCTCATAATCTCTACAGCCAAAATACACAAATTAAAAACTTCCAATGAGGGTGCAGATGGCGCTGTGGAACCTCAGTTTAAGGTGTGCTCCATTCATTTATGCTGTGAGATATTTGTTTAATGACGCAGAGATGTGTTGCATTCTTTTATGTTGCATTTGTTTAATGCTATAAAGCTGCGTGGTACTTTGCCTGTCCAAAACATCTGATTGGTCTAATAAAGAGCTGAATGGCCAATAGCTAGGCAGGGGACAGGGGCTATGCAGGGCTGGCAGGCGGGAGGAGAGAATAAACAGGAGGGGAAGAGGAAAAGAAGGGGGAGGAGCAAGAAAAGGAAGGAGAAAGAGAGGGCGCCAGGGGCTAGCCGCCCAGCCACATGACCAGGCATGGAGCAAGAAGGAAAAAGAGAGAGAGGCGAAAGCCCATTGGCAAAAGGCAGACAGGATAATTTAAGAAAAGCTGGCTGGAAACAAGCCAAACTAAAGCCAGGCATTCATAAGTAAGAATAAGTCTCTGTGTACTCATTTGGGTTATTTGAGAGCTGGGTGGGTGGGGGGTCCCCAAAAGAGTTAAAAAAACAAACTACAGATGCTCTACAAATAAAAACCCAAGGATGCGCGGTACAAATAAAAACCCAAGGATGTGCGGTACGTGCAGGGAAAATGCTCAACACCATTACCTATCAGAGAAATTCAAACTGAAACTGAGAGGCAGCCCTTCACACTGGCTAGAGGGCTAGCTTCAAAGACTGGTCGGACTAAGCACTTGCGATGGCTAACAGCAGCCAGGGCACTCACAGGCTGCCAGCAAGGACACAAGACCACGAGGGCAGATAACGAACCCCAATGTAAGTCTAGAAGCAAAAGCAGGTGCTTGTCACATGATCTAGAAGCTGTACTCTCAGGAATTCACCCAAGAAATGCAGGCCGTGTCTACTAAAAGAGTCGCAAATGTGAACATTACAGCATAATTTCTGAACTGGCCCAAACAACCTAAGTGTCTTACAATAGGTGAGTGGATTCACTAGGAGAACCCGATCCGATCCATGGATTAAAGGCTGAGCTACGGCCAGCCCCACTGGAATACCAGGCAGAGCGAACCTCCGGAGAGGGGAAATCAGGTCAGGGGCACAGCAGGGAGGACTGGAAAGGTTGAGATCACACCAGGAGCTCTGGCGAGGGGAACGTCCTGTGCTCCCACAGGACAATGTCTAGTCAATCGTGGGGGTGTGTATGCAGGGGTCAGAGCCCATTAAACAACACATTTAAAAGGACACACTCAGAGTAAGTTAACTCACACTGCACTACAACTGATTAGGAAGGAAGGTACCACATCTGGATCTAAAGTCTGAATTACAGAACATTTCAAAACCCAAAGTGCATGGGGGGCGGGGCAGCGATGCCAGACTTCCCTCAAAAATCAACCCCGAACGTAAGATTTATCCTCAAGACTGTCACATGGGCGACGGCAGCAATGGTAGTTATCTCAGAGAGCAAAGCAGTGAAGTAGGAAATGAGCATCCAGAGCTGGGTGTGGGGTGGACAGAACGGTGCCAGCACCTGGGAGGCAGAGGCAGAAGGGCCGGAGAAACTCAAAGACAGCCAGCATCCCCACCCAGCCCTCAGTGAATACGTTTCACAGTCAGTCAAAATAAAAGAGGACACTTAGAAGATGAACTATAACCCACTTTTGGAGAAAAAAAATCCTTTTAAAATATTGTCCTCAAACAACTGGGAAACAATTTAAGTTTTAAAAAAAAATCAAGAATGAAAAAAATCAGTTTAAACATGTATTGAACATATGACTTAAAACTGGGCAAAGTGCGAAACAGTCACCCCTGGAGATATAGCGCAAAGCAAAATAAGAGGGAAATGCACTTGAATCCCAGGTTGTATTAAACTTCCCAGTGCTCTAAAGGGAGACCAGCGCACACATGTGCCATCAACCCAGCAAAAAGATAGATGCTGAGTGAATGAAGCCAACGGCCTGCGCCATACTACATAGCAAGTCTGCCAGCAGCCGGGGGAACGCGAGTCCCTGTGTCAGAACAGGTAGCACAGGCATTGGAACCAACCATTGAGAAACGGAACCTCATGCCTCTGCACAGCGAATCCAAGAGGCAGCCCACAGAACCGGGAGCGTCTTCACCAGCCGTACTCCTAACGAAGGGTTAACGACCACCATACACAAAGACTTCTAAAAGCTCAACGCCAGCCAGCCAGCCAGCCAGGACCAAATTTAAAACTGGGGCATGGGATTAAACAGAATTTTCAAAAGAAGAGACACAAATAGCTGAGAAATATTTTAGACATCCTTGACCATGACAGAAATATAAATTTAAACTATTTTCAGATTTCACCCTGCCCAAGTTACCATAGCTAAGATTAGAAAGAAAGAAAGAAAGAAAAAAAGACAACACATACTGGCTTGGATGTGGGAAAGAGGAACTGTTGTTCACTGTCGGTGAGAGTGAACACTGGAGCAGTGTAATGGTTCCTCAGAAAGCTAGGAACATATCTACCACCTGACCCCAAAACTCTTCCCACAGGGTCCTGTATGCTATTACTGAAATACCTGACCATCTACACTTATGGCTGCTCTATTCCCAAATTCACAAAAGCCACAGAATAGAGACGGCACCGGCGTCCGTCAGCTGAGGAGTGAGTAACTTCCACAATGGACCATGAAATTATAAACCCTGCACATAAACGGGGGGTGGGGGGCAGAGACAATCACTCTGAGTGGGTGACTGCACGTCCTTTCTCTTGCGCGGATGCTGCTGTGGACAGTCGGGTACGTGTGCTTCGATCACAGTCCCACGGAAGCCAGGAAAGCAGTGAGCAGCCCGGGGGAGGACATCCAGGGAAGCAGGACAGAAGGCAGGCAGTAAGGGGGGAGGGGGACGCCGGGACAAAAGGGTTACACGTGGTGGGCGAGGGAGGGCGGGCAGCGTGGAGATGGGAGTACAGGAAGGACAGGCACCAAGCAAAGACCCTCTGAAAATGCCACCAAATCCTACTGCTGCGGAGTTCCCAAGACTGCTTTTACAGTGCGGAGACTTACTACCGGTCAGTGTGCATGTATGTATGTATGTATGTATGTATGTATATATGTATACATGCATACATACATACATATATGCACACACATATACACACATACACACACATATACACATACACATATATACACACACACACATACACACACGTACACACACATATACATACACACACATACGTGTACACACATATACACACATATACGCACACATATACACACATATATGCATACACATATACACACACATATACGCACACACACATATACACACATACACATATATATACACATACATACACACACATACACACACATACACACATAAACACACACATACACACATAAACACACATACACACATAAACACACATACACACATAAACACACACATACACACATACATACATATATACACATACACACACATATACACACACATATATATACACACATACACTCACATGTATACACACACATACACACACACATATATATATACACATATATACACATAAACACATACATATATACACACAACACACACATATACACACACACATATGTACATACATACACTCACATGTATATACACACATATATACACACATATATATATACACACACACACACATATATACACACACATACACACACACACACACACACACACACACACATGGAAATCCTGCAGTGGTATTTCTTACAAATACACAAGAAGTTTACAAGCTACGTTAAAACATTGCTTCCCCCAGACACCACGGTCTATTAAGTGAAAACCCCACTGCTAGAATGGGTCATCCCTCTCTCTGAGTTGTCAATGGAGCCCATAGACCCCCTAGATGGTGCAGACTATTGTCATTACTCCTGGTTCCCTTTCAGAACTCCACGGTAAGACTGTGTTGCTGAAGACAGTACATACCTGATTCACAGAACACACAGAATCAAGCAGGCGCTGATCTGGAAGACTCATCCCTGCAGGCTAGCTTGCACAGTAATGGAAACACACCACAGGGAGAAAAGGAGTCAACAGTTCTTACCCAGCTTGAACCCTGTGAGCTACTGTGATCCAGCTGTGGTGTGGAAAGATGCGCCCACTGCTGTGAGAGTGGCATGAATGTTCTAGGAGCAACCAGCCACTGTCTGACTGGATTTAAAGCCCACTCCACAGGATGGGACCCATGCCTGGCACCTTTAAGCGAGATAAAAATCCATGGGTGGCTGTCATAGGTCCCAGAGAAGAACCCAGGACTGTCATTCTGCTAAATGGGCATCGCAATAAACTGTCCCTAATCAATTATCTCTGTGCCCATAGATTAATGCATTTGTCAAGCTTCGCCAGAGAGCTTCTCTTTTACAGTGCAGAGAGACTTACAACCAGTCAACAGGCACAGAATAAGACATGGGACCTCTATACCATATTCCCTCCCCGCCAGGCTCGGGGTTACCTTGGAAAAAGTCAAGGACAAGAGTGCAGAGCCAGAGGAATAGATGCTTTCAGCAAATGGTGTTTGCTTGCCACGAACGATAGTGCTGCACCCAGGAACTCACAGCACCTGACACAATCGGCACAAGACCAAGCTAGCCAAAATCCCAGTACGGATCAGAAAGGAGCACGTGGAGCCCCAACCCTAGCTGAGGAGTTTCTGGCAACTGATGGCTTGGAGAAGAGGGATGTTCCAGTAGATGGTCTCACACCCATGCACATACAGGCAGCAAAAAATAGATAGAGTGTGAATGAAAAGGAGGGGAAGAGGTTGGCATAGGAGGGGTGAGAGGGTGAATATGATCAAAGTACAAATGTGGATTATGAAAGTCTCCAATGATTAAAAAGAAAAAAGGCACATGTGTGGCCAAAGGCTATCTCCAATGGACTGCAATGAACATGGTAATCACAAATTTAAAAATTAAAAATAGAGACTTTTAAGTCCTGTATTCATTTGTAAACATATTATCTAAAATCTACACTTAAAAATACAAATGTTAAGTTCAACAACCTGGTATACATGCAACACGTCTAACCTATGAAGAAGCAGATGTCACAAATCAGAAAAGATAAACTCGGCAGCCCTGAGGCTTTCCATGTGGGAAACGGGCAATGCTTAGGCCATCAAACTAAAAGAGGACCCGGACCCTTTCGTGACCCATGAGCTCCATAACCAGTCACAGTTCTCAGCGTGGAGCAAAGCAGCACTATCTGGAAAAACTGTGGGACTCATGGCACAGCCTAGACAATGCCCCAACTCGGACTCCATCACACATTCATTCATCCAGTCATCTCCTCGGGCACCTAACACAGCTCTATTGATCGCAGGTAAATGATCCTGTGATCGAAATATCCACCAATGGAAGAGTCAGGCAGATTCCGATGTACTCAAAAAAAAAAAAAAGCTAACATTTTAAATTGTATTTCTAAAATTCGTAACAAACTTACATATGTTCAATGTACACCATTCACAAGAAAAGCGGGTGCCATTGCTGTATACCGTAAGGGCAATTAGTACTTCTTGATACTCACGGATCTTAAGTACTGGGGGCGACGCAAAGTGTGAGTAGTCATTTTTTTCCAAATTATTTCATTTTCGTTTCTGACTTTTTGTATATTTCAAAGTTTTCTCTATTAAGTGCGTGGAAGGGGACACCATATTGTACACTAAGAAACAGTACTTTTTCCCCTGGCGTCAGCATGGCTGAAGATATCAAATGGGCAGCCAGCAAGTGCCTCACAGGAGAGCCGGGCAACGTGCTGGCTCTCGCCACCGTTTTTTTCTGACACACCCGAGTTCAGATTTCCAAGCCCAGCAAGCTGGCTAGCCTAAATACTACCTCTCAGGAAAACAGACAACCACATATAGATACCACTTCCAAACCACACACGGCTCAACTCTGACGTGTTCCCATGACATACTTGCCTATCCAGGAAGTCTTCAACTGAGACCACCCACGCTCGCTCCACAACGCATCAGGTAAGAGTCACTCTGGAATCATCTATGAACCGGTAGCTTTGGCGGGAGAGCCTGGAACCCCATGCCCAGACTCCCAAGTGTCCCCGCCCCCCACCCCTGTGCTTCTTCTGGGGGATTTTCATTCTAGCCTCACCAGCAAAGCTGCTCCTCAGAGACCACAGCATGGCTGGTGGCTCCCCGGGTCCGGTGCGTGCGTGCGTGCGTCACACCCAAGTTAAGAAAGAACACAAGTACAGTACCTTCTGGAAGCGGTGTGGGCTTGGCAGAATTTTCCCCACTCATTAAAACAACAGAAGGTGCAGCTGCTCGGACTGTGGCCTGCCATGTTGACATGGCAACGGGTGGCTCCTGGCATGGAAACAGGGCCCTGTTGTTGATGGGGGATCCCATGGTATAAACGCACGGCCTGCAGAAGACAAAGACAGGCAAGGGAAGGGTCTTTAGAACCAGTTGTCATTTATCTCACCACCATGGCAGGGAGGTCATGTTGAGCTTCTGCAAGTGGAAACATTTGAGGCTTTGTAGCTGACTCAAAGCACACTGAACCGAACATGCCAAGGGCCTGCTAAATCAATGGCTCAGTGGTTACTCCTCCCAAAGGAATCAAATATGTGAAAAGGTGTGTGTGTGTGTATGTGTGTGCGTGTGCGAGTGTGTGTGTGTTAAGAGGGAAAAAAATGGATAAGGTTTTAAATACTATTCTGCAAAGTTATAATTTATGCTCCCCTTAGGCCTTTCTGCCTTCAAAGGAAAAAGGCTTCAGAGACATTCTTACAGACTTTTTGGAAAGTATTCTGGAAAAGAAAACATGGCTGGAGATTTCTGTGATTATTAATCTTGGAAAAACAAGCGGTGGTCTCAAAGCCAATGTTGGCAGGCAGACCCTCCTGGTTCTGGAAACCGCCTTCTCAGATGGAGCCTTTGTGGGGAGCCCTTGTGTGGAAGCCAAGAACAGGGCTTGGCACAAACAGGATGGTAGAGGTCAAAGCAACCAGGCTTGGAAGACCAGAGGAGCAAGCCCATCACCAAAGCAAGGTATGAAACCCACAGCCTGAGTTAGGACTTGGTCCCTCCAAGTATAAACACCTCCAAACTACGCAGAATCCCTTTAAATCCATGATTAAGTCGTGGCTGACAGAGATAGCAAAGACCTGAAAATTCAGAGTAATCCATTCTCGCTCTGCAGAGAAGGCACAGCTACTGGCTTCTAAGGACAACCACTTAGGGAAAGAACAGCACTCTGTTTGCGTGGATTTACAACAAATGCCAATTAATTCAGCTTGACTTGCAGAAAAACTGTTTTCAGTGACGTCATTATGACTGAACATCAATGTGTCTGTACGGTATGTGAAAGATGGCTTTCCTCTATCAGCCAGGCCCAATCAAACAAAACAGAAAGAAAGAGAGAGGGAGAGAGGGAGAGAGAGAGAGGGGGGGCAGGGCAGGGCTCAGCAAGCAGAGAACTGTTACAAAAATGACAGAGTGAGGCCAGCCAGGGCCTGTGTTCATGGAGTAAGCAAAGGAAGACAAATCCTCTAAGCCCAGCATGCCTGCTATAGACCTTAAAGAGCATGGTGACTGGATTTGTAGGGAACAGGTCAGAACCACGTAGCCACTCTCTCTCTGCCGACTACTATGCAGAATGGTCTTTTCAGGAGAGAAGGGGGCAGCTTCTGGCCTGGAAGGTTCCAAGCTTGCCTCTTCCCATCACACTGATCCCTGTCAGAGGCTTTGATCAGCAATCGGCAGCTACAGAGCTGACTGCAGGAGTGTTGGGCAGACGGGAGCCTGGAAGGCCCCGATCGGATCTGTCGTGTGGCTTGATGGGGCCTTCCTAAAATGGGGCAAATGGCCGGGTCAGGGGTCACAGACACAGGAGGTCAGCCAGAACTATCCAGAAGCTTCTGAGGGTCACAAAGTGTACAGGCTCCCAATTTATTTCCATTTATTATTTTATCTAATAATACGTTTACAACTCTGTGTTTCAACAAAACTGTGACACGGTCTCCACCACCACGGGAAACCGCCCGCTTTCTTGTACCACATAGCAAAACCCAACATTTCTAGTAGAGGAAGTTCCACCAACCACGGCCTCCTCTCTCCTCCTAATCCATCTCATGGTGCCACTACTAAATCCAGAATTGACCAGTATCATCTAGATGGCAAGTTTAAAGACACTGTCACCTTGAAATGGTCAGGGCTTATTCAAGAGCGGCAATTTTTCTTGTAGAATAGGCAAAGGCAGGCTTTGGCCTTTGGAAGGCCCTCCTGGGGTCAGGTGAGAACATGGAGATCTTTCATGGAATTTCATGGAATGGTCTCACGTTAGGCATAATGAAATTAGGCTCTAGTTACAAACTTGGCTTGTTGGCAGCCTGGCTACAAAGGGCCCTCTCATGTCTGGGCTCTTGCCTTCCAATTTTACAATATACTACTCTAATCCTTGGTTATATAGGCCACTGCTATCTGTCATTTTTTGTTTATATTTTATTCTTTTAGGGCAAGCTTGGGGAATCCCTGCTGAAGAGGGGGAGGAAGGATTGTATGAACCAGAGAGATCAAGGACAACAAATAAATATTGAATATCCTTAGCCATCAGAGAAATAAAATTTAAACTACTTTGAGATTTCATCTTACCAGTTAGAATGACAAAATGAGGAAGGGGAAGAGAGGGAGGGAGGGAGGGAGGGAGAGAGGGAGGGAAGGGGGAGGAAGGGAGGGAGGGAGAGAGAGGGAGGGAAGGGGGAGGGAGGGAGGAAAGTCAATAAATGCTTGTGTGTATATGGGGAAGGGAACACCGATTCACTGCTGGTGGGAGTGTAAACAGTGGAGTCCCTCAGAGAGCTAGAAATGTAGCCACCATATCATATGGTCCAGCTAGGCGTATTCCAAAGGACTCTACATCCCACAACAGAGGCACCTACTCATCCTCCCCCACCCACGGCTACTCTAGTCACAATCGTTAAGAAATACAAGCAACCTAGAAGACCAGCCATGGACAAGTGGATAATGAACATGTGGTTCACATTTATAAAATGCAGTATTGTTTAACTATGAAGAAATGATGAGATCTGCAGGTAAATGGATGGCGTTGGCAGCAATATCTACATGTCATCTTATGTGTAGAGGAATCTTATGTGTAATCAAACTGGAATACCCTTAGAGGTCGGTTCCACGTTAAGGGTCCATAGGGACGAGTGGTTTCAAGGAAAAGAAGACAGAATGCAAGTGGTTATGAAGGGGGGAAGAGGAACGGAACAGGAAGGGCTAATGGCATAGGAAGGAAACGGGTATTGGGTGGTATAACTTACACTAAAGGCCTTTGAAAGATTTATATGGAGGCCCACTACTGCAGAAGTTTTCTAAAATACATATAAAAAAGTTTATAAATAGAGTTATTCTAAAACAGGGGAACAATGTCTCCCCTTAAGACATCATAATTATCATAAAAAGTCCATTTCTAGTACGGGTTATCTCTGAGTTGTTGGTCAGTGGGATTCCACAGAGCACCCCCCTCTCCAAAATACATACACACACAAAAAAAACCCCAAAAAACAAAAAACAAAAAAAGAGATTATTGTCATTGTCTTGGTTACCCTCTAGAATTTAATGGGAGACATCCTTCTGTATATGTTTCTTTTATTGGCTGATGACTGGAACACTGGCCAATAGAGGCAGGAAGATAGGCGGGACTAGGAGATGAGGAGAATTCTGGGAAAGGTGGGCAGAGAGAGGCGCCTTGGAGAGACACCGCATAGAGACCGGGAAGATAGGATGCACCATGAGTTCTCTGATTAATATAAGGCCGTGTAGAAATAACATAGATTAATAGAAATGGGTTTATAATTAAGACAGCGCTAGCCAATGAGAAGCCCTAGCCATCGGCCAACAGTTTTATGATTACTATAGCATTCCTGTGTTTATTTGGGGAAAAGCAGCTGTGGGGGCCAGACCGGACAAGAAACTCCAGCAACAAGAATTTGATGGTTAACACCTTACTGCTGAAGACACTACATACTTGAGTTACAGGACAAGAGAAACCAAGCTAGAATCACTTGCGAGCTTCATCCCTACTGGCTAGTTTTCCCGGTGCTGGAAGGCTCTATGTATGCTACTGGGGAGGAAAAAGAATTAAAGACCGTGTACAGTTACGAAGCCCGCGAGCTACAATGGCTGGCCTGGAACAGTGTGCCCACCGGTGTTTGAGAGCAATGTGGGCACTGTGGATGCCATGGGAGAAAATCAACCAGTTTCTGACTGGACTTAAAGGCTGTTCCACAAAAACGGAATCCATTCCTGGTACCGCTGGCAGCGCCAAAACCCCACGGCGGGCTGCCATAGGCTCTAGCAGAGAACCGAGTGGTATAATTCTGCTGAATTAACATAGTTCTTGTCTTTACTATACACACAGTGCACCTCTCAACCTCCAGGCCGGTGACAGCAACTAATACAGAGACATATCTGGGCACTGTGCGGAGAAAAAAGAGACTTTGGGGTGCGCAGGTCTGAACAAGACATCGATGTCACATCCCCTGAGCTCAGGGGTCACGACAGGAAGAAGGAGCAGAAAAAGTCCAGAGATGGGGACATCTGTGGTGAGTCAGAGCTGCTGCCCACATCAGCCCACAGTGGCTGTGGCCGCATATACGAGGCCCCTCAACACTCAGGGGCCTTGTGCAGGAGAGGAGACTCAAAGGTTGTAAGGGCTAGAGATGTGTGGAGGGGGTGGAAGTTAGATTTTGATTCAAACTCATTGTATGCAAGTGCGAATATTAAACAAAAACATTTATGTGTCCTGAGGATCTAGAATTAAAAAAAAAAAAAGCTAACTTCTGTAGTGATGTATTATTTATGATTTATTAAAGCTTGCCTGAGGATTCAGAAAGCAAAGTCAGCCTCAAGCCATAAAGATCAGGCAATGGTGGTACACACATTTAATCCCAGCAGCCAGAAGCTAGCAGGTAGTGGTACACGCCTTTAATCCTAGGATTCAGGATTAAGAGGTAGACAGATCTCTGTGAGCCCAAGGCCACCCAGATCTACACAAGATTGATCCAGTCCTAAAGAGAAACAGCTCACATTCTGATGATCTCAGCACCTGGGATCACACGCCTTTAATCCCAGCACTAAGGGGATAAAAGGCAGGAGCAGGGGCTTCAGTACTCAGTGTCAGGACTCATTCTCCAGCCACACTGAGGGCAGGAAGACACTGAAGTCTTGGGATTCTCCAGCCACGCTGAGGAAAGGTTACAATCTGAGGTTTGGTGGAGCCAGACTCTCCTCTCATTCTGAGGTAGAGTGAGAGCTAGTGACCAGCTGCTTTGCTTTCTGAATCCTCAGGCAAGCTTTCCTAAATCATGAATAATATATCACCACCCTAGGACAAGCTGGTTAGAGTAGCTGAATCAGTGAGCTCCAAGTTCAAGGAAGATACTCTGTATCAACACATGAAGCAGAGAGCGATTGAGAAAGACACCACATGATGTCAACGGCTGGCTTCCACATGCAGGCACATACATGTGAACACGCATGCACAGCACAAGCACATTCACATGTGTAAAAGAAAACAAAAGCAAAGTTAGGTCAGGGGACACCTATTCCACGTCCCCTAGGGAGGCTGTTTCACGGTATTGTTACATCGCACTTTTCATCCTGGGATGGTGTCCCCTCCACAATGCTTACGACTTCCCTTACTTACTAATTGCCAAACAGAAGTGACTGCGGACCGAGTCTTCACAGTGTGGTGGGGAATGAACACTAGGCACTGATGGGACCTGGGCATGGCCTCTGCAGAAACGCCTGACACCGTACCCAAGTCCTGTCTGTGAAGGATAAGAAAGTTCATGCCACGCAGGCCCGACAGTCCGTGGTAAACAAGGAGGCGAGAATGTTGACAGTTACTACAGGATTTTCACGGGTGTGGAATCCTGCTCTGGTGCTTCTGGAGAAGCGGTTGTTCATCCCTGTCACATCGAAGACCACTTCGCTGAGGAAATATGTTTTGTCCCTGACCTAGAATCCCAGTCAACCAAGAGCTCTTAGTTCCTGGACAGTCACCTGGAAGAAGCTGGGCCTACTTACGTAGTTTACCTGAAGCAGGGTCTCATTGTGTAGCCCAGTCTATCCTAGAACTCTTGATAATCTCCCTGACCTCACTTCCTCTTGCCTCTGGGATTTGCAGGTGTGAAGCCATCACACCTGGCATCTTATTCTTACGTACACAGAAGAGTTTTGAGAAATTTGTGGCTGCCCATGCAAGGGTATCTCCACTCTGATCAAAGTCTCACAAAGTGTCACCCCCAAAGGGAAAGGGCAGCTTTCCGGAATTTCCTTCTAAAATTAACACTTTGTATCTATCCTCTTAGGACTCCACAAACAACTCAGACTAAAGCATGGCATAAACCCTTCTGTCACACCATGTGTTTTACTGAATCATGCCAAATGGAGAGAGACATCAAGAGCAAGTTCTGTGTCGCCCTTTCTCCAGGGAAACCAGGACTTCCGCATGCGAGATGGATTCACATCTGTCTTCGTAGTTAGCATTCAGGACAGGAGACCATGTCTGAGGCCACCAACATACCTTCCAACTGCCAATAGCTTCTTCCCTAATATTTTAATTCAAAAGTGAGGCATCTGGAGTATAAAAACTACAGATCCCTACTCAAATATTCAATGGCATTATATGGTTAACCTCGGTGAAAGTCTCCACTAATTCCAAACATTTTGAAATAAGAACACCATCTCCTTCGCACTCTCCAAAGAATGCCCAGGAAGGGACGCTACAAACAATCACTATGCTTTTGTATTTGTATAACCTTACCAACCCTGCAATTTCCCGAAGGCTTTCACAAACTCTAGCAGACATAAGGCAGAAGGTGAACTCCCTGAGAGGCCTGGAAACCAGAGCAGGAGGGAAGATTATAGGCGATGGGCAGGCTGATCAGAGCTCAATGTGCCAGGCATCAAAGTCCCCTGACTCTAAGAATCTGGTGTCTTTTGGTCCTGGAGACCGACAGCCACATCCCAAGAAGCCAGGGTGCAGTACAGCAGGTCTGACTGTTTCAGTTCTCAGAAGCAGCTGTCTCTCTCAACGCCGTAGGTTCACACCCAGTGACAACCAGCCCAGTCCAGGGACTGTACAGGGAGAAAGTCACAGGCGGCTGGCCTGGCCTCACACCCGCGCAGCGCAGCCTCAGAGCAGTGGGATCCCAGGTGTGCTCAGAGACATGCCACTTCATCAGCGGCACCCACCAGTGGCACCCACCCCACCAGCAGCCAGGCTCGGCACTTCAGCAGAAATGCTGGAACCTCTCCAACCTAGTCTACAGGAGGTGATCTTGACGACAGTCGTGTGGCATGCTGCAGGATCTACCTGCCGTCTGCCTCTGAGTCTGCCTGGGTAAGGCTACAGAACAAGCGGAAGCCCCCCACAGACGAGATCATCCCCCAAGTGCATGGGATTAGGGGCGGAGAAGTAAGTGCCTGGATAACCTACCTGCCACTCTGGTCTGAGGTCCAAGTCACTGACTGCCCCTCGGGTTTAGTTTTGTACCATACCCTGATGGCCCGAGGAAAGTCAGCAGCTGCCTGAGCTCCCGGCTTCCTGATCTGTAGGCTCCAATTGTCAGTGTCAAAGAAGAGCTCCCCACAGCCAGGGGCCTGGCTGCAACGGGTGTAGCATTCTAGCTGCTCCCTCCAAACTTCTGCAGGCAGAGCCACAAGTTCACGGACAATCTCATGCCTGAGCTTCTCAGGAGAAGCTGCGAGCTTGGGAGCCTTTGTAAATCTCTCAAGGCCTGGCACGGCGGCCACATCCACCTCCTCTACCTTCAGCACAGACAAATCACAGCAGTCCAACACTAGCAAGAAATCCTCTCTCCCATGATTCCCTGCGCCACAGCAATACTTTGAGCTAGAGATCTCAGAAGCATGTTCCCAGTTGTCATGGTTACCATCGTTATCAAAGGCATCTTGATCACCTTTACCACAGGCTGCACATTCACTGCATCCCATCTGAGGTGAGAAGGTACTTGCAGCCGTCTCAGGAACATGGCGTGGCTCAGTTGCCCTAAATGTGCGGTCTTCCTCTGACTCCACCTGGAATGCTTCCTGGGTGGAACCCGCCCGTTTTTCAAAGCTGCTTCCCTCTCCAAAGAAAAGAACTATGGTGCCCTCAATGATCCGGCTTCCAAAATCCACATCCAAATCTAGTACGTAGTGCTTCACGAGCAAGTGGCTGGTGTTGGCCATGAGAGGCAGGTCATCGCGGGAAGGGTCCAGCTTTAGGTCCATGGTGCAGTCTGCAGTTGGTGGCTTTGCTAAATCTCCACCGAGGCCTCCTGCATCTCCTTAGTCATTCAGAAGCACAAATGGCTGGCTTACCAAATAAGAAGCACCTGCTGTCACAAGTTATAGTTCCACAACTTTCAGCTCCCTGGCAAAGGAAAAGATACGGTTAGATGGAATTCCAAACGCGACCCTAACTGTCCCTGCAGTTGCAGACCCTGCAGGTTGGGCCACATTACTTATTAATCCCCCAGGTGGCAGATGCTCGCTCGCTCGCTCGGGGAGAAGAAAGGCTCATCCTGGTGACTGGCAGGAAAGAAGCTTCATTACCGACCTCTAAGCTACTAAGGGACACACACACAGTCCTTGTTTCAGAAAAGAGCAATTCTTATGCAAAACTGCAACTATTACTGCCTCTTGTTTTAAAAGATATTAGATGTATCGATTCTAATTTTGTGCATCAAAAGGCAAGTGGCTGTTTTCTACTGTGGTTCTAAATAACAAGTGTGAATGAGGGCTAAATGGCCTCATACACTGTATTCCTTGAGAGTAATAATTTAATCCGCACAATATAACTCCAGGGATTAATGTACTTTTCACATTAGGACCGCCCTCCTAACAGCACTTCCAGTAAATTACAGGAAAGTGAGCCAATTTACCAGGAGTGCATTCTGAGTATTCCTTTGAGATTGCTCATGGAGACTTTTCAAATTTATAGTTAAATACTCAAGGTATACATTACATCTTAATAGCTGAAAACCCATTAACATTCTGGGTAATAGCTTTCTTGTGGCAAACAAAAGGTCTCATTTGGAAAAAAAAAGTATGCAAATATCTATAAAAGGAAACAGGGAAATTAAAATGTGGAAGCAGATGTTGCAATACAAAGGGAGAGTTCTTCAGAAAAGTTCTGAACCAAAATGCACTCTAACTATCGTGACAGCAAACAGCCAAGGGGAAGTGTTTGACTCACTCAGACCCTGACATCTAACTGACATCTTTAGCATATGCTGCTTTTTCTTTACCCAAAAAAACATATAAAACAAATGCCAGGGGAAAGAAATAAAACATGATGACAGAGGAGAATATTTTAAAACTACCTAGAGGTACTTCTTTGTCAACCATAAAACTGTTATTTGTTTGACTTTAAGTAAACTGAGCTCTGACACCCCCCCCCCCACCCTGACCCCTGTTTCTACCTTGCTTCTTTCTTTCTGAGCTTATCTGCCCCTACCAGACCTTATTAGGGCCTCTCCTGCTAGACTCACCTAGTGAACAACTCAACTGAGTTCTTAGTTTCTACCTCCCCCCCTAGTGATTTCCCCATCAAATCTCACTTAACCTTAGGAAGCATGGCCTCCTATAGCATTACAGTGCCTGATCAAGGCAGACCTCCTTGCCTTTGGGGCTGGAGTATTACTGGCTTCTGCATATCCTTGCTTTGTGGGCTATCTCTCGTATCCATTGGTAAAATCATGTTCTCCCTCCAAACCTCAGTTCAGATGCCTCAAAACCCTTCCTGGATTCCTCCTTCTCACTAACCAAACCATTTGCTAATGACCTTATTTTATTTCAGAGTTTACTTTGTTTTCAGACAAGGTAGCCTCAAACATGCAGTAATTCTCCTGCTTCTGCATCCTGAATGCTGGGGTTGAATGTGTGGGCCACCACGGTTGGCTTGGTAATGAATTTAAATACAACAGGAACAGAGAGAGATAGAGACAAAGATCAGTTTGAGGTTTTATGAGAAGTTAGTATCTGTCTTGGTACTAGACAAGGCAGTATGTAAAAGGGTAAGTGAGTGTTTGTTACTTTCTGCAGGATTTCCACTGAACTTATCATTTACAAATAATAAACTCAGATACAGACATCAATGCTATCCACTAACTGGAAATTGCTGTGAAAAGCTTATCCTGTTGGAATCTGGAGCAGCTAACGCATACTAGGTACACTATTTTGTTAACTGAGCCTTTTCTTTTTTTTTTTCTTCCTTCCTTCCTTTTTTGTTTTTGTTTGTTTGTTTGTTTTTAAGGTAGGGTCTCATACACACACTATAGCCAACCTAGACCTTTGTCTAGGCTGGCCTCAAACTCCCAGCAACCCACTTGCCTCTGTCTCCTGAGTGCTGGGGCCATAGGAATAAACCATCATGCCATTTTATGCTTAGACTTTACACACACTCACACACACACACACACACACACACACACGCACACACACTCTCACACACGCACGAACACACACACTCACACACGCACGCACACACACACACACTCACACACACGCACACACAACGCACATGCACACACACTCACACACGCACACTCTCACACACGCACGCACGCACACGCGCACACACACACTCACACTCACACACGCACACACACACACGGCGTGGGGTACGGAGGGAGGGAGGAAGAGAGGTAGGGAGGGAGCCAGGTACACAGAAAAAGAACAATGCCTACTGCAGAGATCTCTACTGAAGAGATAGTTTAGCATTTATTTCACAGAGGCAAAGCTCCCCATTAGCTCATATTTATTTCTGCAAATGTGTGTAAGTTAAGAGTTCACAATGTCCTACAAAGCCATTTTCAGTACTTGTGCCCATGGTAGCAAAGAATAATGCAGGGCAGCTGCCTTCGAGCCCGATCCTGTCAGGCTGGCTATAGACACGGTCATAGCAACAGCAGGAGGGGGCTTTCTGGTGGCCACCAGGGATGGTTCTGAAGTGTCTGAGAAGCTGGGTCTCTGCGCTGTCCAGTCTGGCCCTGGGCTCCCACCTCAGTCTCCAAATGCTGCCACAGCTAGGGTTCCCATCTCGCCAGTTTTGGTATAAACTTTATTTACATGCCCGTGTATTTGACACTGGACCCACGCCTTACTTTTTCTCCATCGACTCTCCAGTGCTTTCCCTGTGGATGCCATGCTAAGTCTTGCCTCCTTACCTTTGCAATCCTACACCTGATGACCCATTCTTAGCTCATCACTTGAGCCCCTACTCTGCTGAGATGATCATGACTCTGAAATGCAGTCATGATTCAAAGAATCTCCAAGTCTTCGTAATTAATGCTTTTTTCCTAATGCAGGGGGGACAATATTCTTCTCAATAAAAGGCTACTGTCCCTTTTGAACTTTATGTAAAAGTGGGGACTTTTATATAAAAATTCTGAGTATACTGAGATAATTACAGGGGAAACTAAACTTCCTGTACCGTTACTGGTAAAAGTGGAACATGGCTTACTAAAGGAGTCAAAGGAAAATGAACTCCAAACAAAATGCACCTGCAAGGCCACTGGCCAATGTGGAACAGGTCAGAGCTCCCAGAAGAGGTAGCCACGTGCTCCAGCCAGGGTGTAAGGTTGAAAGAGCAGAGAATGTTGAGCGGTCAGGTCGGGGCTGCTGCCCCAAAGCCGAAGGGAACTGAACAAAGCATGCCTGCCTGTGTCACGCGATGCTGTCCATCTCCCAAAGAAGTGAAGTCACAGCCAAGGGAGGAAATGACAAACTACAACCGGCACCTCTCTTTACTACGCTTAGACCCGCAATTCCTTTGGTGTTTTTTCTCACCAGTATTTCTTTCTCAACAGTTCCTTCCTGCTCCTGACATTAGAACACTCTGCGGGCCCTATCTTCATAAATGCCCCCCCTCCAAGTCCTGCTGCCTGCATCGATATACTCGGTTCTAGGCATAAAAGTCAGGGCTTGACACAATTCCGCCATTCGCTACACCTCCGGTTGTGTTTGCTAGTTTAACCTGTCTTAACGTCACTGAACTTTAAAACTAAAAGAGATTCTTTGAGCACACTTGTGCGCAGCCGCCAGCAGAACGCCATTACAAGATGGCGAACTTCCTCCTTCTTGCACCCTCGGTGCCTTACCTTATTTGGGCAAAAGCCTGCCTGATGGTAGTACTCCAATGCGCTTGCTCGTTCCCTAGCCAATCCCGTGGCTCCAATGCTGTGGCGAGGTCCTCTGAGCCTATGAGATTGCGACCCGTTGCCTAGTAGCATATATAAGCAGCTGCTTTTTCCTCCCCTGGGCACCTCACCTTCAGCTCTCCCTTCAACCAAGAAGTGCTCCAATAAAGTGTGATCTGAGAAGAATCCTCGTGTGGTTGCCGTCTGTCCTGCGGGTCGGGCTGGGTGCACCACACACACTCAATCTAGATATTATTTTACAACTGTAGAGAGGTACAGTGCTTTACACAAACGTTGGCCACTTCTCCCCTGTTTGTGAGGGATGAACTTCTCCACCCGCTCATACTCCCAGCTAGGTGGCACGGTGCCTCGTTTGCGCTGTCCAAATCACCACGTGTCACTCCAAGCGTCTTCACACCCTCACCTGGAGGTCAGTCTCTTTTGTGGTCTTTTTTCCTTTTATCTCTATTTTATTTTTATTTTTTTCCTGGAGGACAGTATTAAAGCCACCCCTAGGAGACAAGAAAACAGCACTGTCACCTAAACTCTGTACTATGTAAGCTCCATCACCAATCTCTTCCTCGTGTTGGACGTGCGTACAGACTAAACCTCCCTCCTCTGGAAGTACACAGCTCTTGCAGGCGTCAATCGAGGTCACAGCCCCACACGCGGGAAAGATGGACCGATTGTGGTTGCATGTGCATGTCTGTGGATACTATGAAAGGCTTTCTCAGCAAATGGTAACCATATTTCTAAGAAGTCTGTTGACTTCAGCACTTCTGGCGAATGCTGGCCTGCCCCCATGAAAGCATTTCCCACTTGCTGTCATAAGCTATAACATGGAAAAGCCACCCTCCCTATCAAAACCAATGGTAGGCGCTCAGCTACCCGCCGCAGCCCCTGAAGCATGTATGTTTTGGGTTCCAATGCTTACATGTTCATTTCAGCAACACTGCTGAAAGGCTGTGGAGGATTCATGCACAGCTACTAAAGCTATGCACTGGAAAAGAGGCTGCCCTGTTCCTTCCAGTGTGGTCGGAAACAGCCCCCTTAGACAGACACATCCCCACCCTCCACGGGAAATCACCCCACGCTTCTTCCAAGCTACACAGTGACACGCATGGTTCCCGTGGCCTTTACATATCCTGTGCTGTAAATACCGTAAGACTGAGGATTCCCTTCGTGTTCGTGGCCATGGTAAGCGGAAAGCACACACTTGTGACGCG